TAAAGCAGACGCAAGAAGAGGAACGGAAAGAGAGCTACAAGTTCGAAAGCCAGCAAAGTGCAACATTTGATTAAAAGAGAGACTGATATTTGGAGTACTTTTCGAGACAACTAATGAGAAATTATGAGCTCATCCGCAGCCAAAAAACATTTACTGCTGCAATTGTAATGGTCTAAAGTGCGGACTATGTCCAGACAATGAAAGTTTTGCTTATTCCTCATTAAGTCTAAGACCAATCTTAATTACGGTGTTCATGCATGTGGGAATGGATATGATCAAAATTGTATAGAGGGAGGTTCTTCACTGTCCCTTAAGCGGAAACACAACTCGAAATCCCACTGCAAGCGTTAACTGGAAGTATAAATAGGATGGTAATCTCAACTGACTTATGCAGGTGGATGTGTTGAATTGAATAGAAGATGTCATAAGGTCAAGACATTTCAGTCACCTTAGAAAGTCGACTTTGGAATGGGCGTCCCTCCAGTTGTATTTGAACACCAGTGCTTCAAGGCCCCTAAAAAGCAAAATATATTTTATACAAACTCAAACATGAAAATACTCTTTTAGGCCAATTTTGCAGCAAGTTGGCCATTTACGTAGTTATATACAATAACTGCTTAATAGCCACAAGCAGTCAACAGACAGTCGGTAGTATGGCTTTCTTAATTATAAGTTCAAAATTAATTTCTCAGGAAACTAAAACGCTGTCATTGGAGCATTCTTAAAATGTTTCTACTCCAAAGAACGATTTCCTTCGATTTTTAAAAAATTTGTGCTTATACGACGACCTGCTATGCTGGCAAATCGCGTAGTATCTGTCCATCTACCGATACTCCTGATGAATTATACAGGGTGTTCCATATCAATTGTACAATTTTATGAGCTATGTAGGGCCCCTTCTACATAGAATAGAAGGACGTACGATTTTCCGCAAATAAAAGTTCATTATTCAGTTTTAATAAATTCTAAACGCAAGTGAAACCACAAGTGACGTTAAAAATTATTCGGGGATAGACTAAAAAATGCCAAGACGGAAGTATGCAAGGTAATCAGGCGGAAATTTTAAAAAACACGTAAATTAGTACAAATTGAGCGCATTTTGTCTATGCTTTCTATCAAATATATGTGGATTTATAAGAGCATCAAACTCCAGTTGAATGAGTTACTTTAGCCAGTAAGATTTCGATAAGGATGACTTTTATGGCGGCTTAGACAGAACACAGGAACAGGAAGCAACTTCCGGTGAACTTAGCTTCAGGACCAAGGTTAGAGTAAGGGGTTAAGCTTAAAGTTAGGTGTAAGGTTTGGATAGGGAGTCAGATGTAGAGATTACATTTTAGTTTCATGTTTGGGGTTAGTATCGGGCATAAGACAGGGGAACATTCACCCTCCCTGAAATCTACCGCAAGGTGGGCGATGCGTTCCTATTCCCATGTCCTATCTAGGCGGTCATACAAGACAGCCTTACCAAGATTTATTGGTGTGACTGGAACATTCTATCCACGTTATCATATTTAACCGATCTCACCTCAAAAGCTGTGTGACTCTGTTAGCAATAATTCAGCCCTGAATTGCACAGATGACAAATTAGCCGCAAAAATATTAGTACAGCTAGTCTTGACTGAAATGAACTGCCCAATCCATACAGACACTGCAAAGAAACCAGGTCTAGCCAAGTTACGAAGTGG